TCTCTACTACGTGCCAATTTACACAACTGATAAATTTGTCGAGAAAATCCGTTGTAGCAAGAATCCAATGAAATATTCCAGGTCAGTTCACTTGAAAGATTTAACGATTCTCCCTTGGGACAAAAATTGAAATTTCACAGATTTTTTTAAAATTTCTTTCAACTGCATGAGTAATGTGCAATCTGGTGTCAAAATATTTTAATGTATTTGAATAAATATAATAATTTCACATTGGGGGATTGGGAGTGTCAATCAAATCTATTTTATCTGCAAACGCTCTAACCACTAGGACATTGGTGCCCACAAAATCGAAAATAGCAAACGGTAAATTAGTGCTAATTCTGGAGGAACCCTGCAATAACTCAATTTAATTATTTAAAACCTACCGGTAATAGTTTGTTTCAAATCATGTACAAGGATAGTGAGCTGACAATGCTTATTGTTTTAGTTCTATCATTAATAAACAGTGTACAACGCAGAGCATAGTCCATTTGGAATTGTATGAGTGATGGACTATGATTAAAAATATTTTGAATAATAAAAAAAAACACCAACTACCAAACTAGGAGAAGAGTAATCATGCAAACAGGCTGCATAAGAAATAAAACGCATCAGCATAAATAGAAGTCATTTTTATGGAGAAAAAATATGAAACAGCCAAAATAATACAATTAAATGAGTGTGTGTAATATATACAAATAAAAATGTGACAGATATAAATTGTGGGAATTACTACTAACGAATGTTTCATCAACTAAATATTATAATCAAGGTAAATAAAGAATTCACGGCAAACTATACTTTTTTCTTTTTTATTTAACTGGGCTGTTCATATACACAGTTATTGAATAGATCCTAGGTTGAAACGAAAATCAAATTTTTCAATCTATGTGCATACCCTCGAAGGCACATCATATATAAAAATATACTTTCACTGAAATATAACTTGAACAGACCAACACAAATAAATCTACGACACCCCAAGCACAGACATACAGCTACAAGAAATAGGAATGAAGTGTTCGGGATCAGAATGCAACAACAGATACACATGGCACATCAAGCCATGGTCATCCAAATAATACAACAACAATCATGCAAAATTCATATTGCACCGATATTGTATCAAAAAATTGTAAACAGAGGACAAGTTTTCCACAAAAGATAAAACAGACCACGGCCATCCACTTTACGATTTTACCTGACGCTACACAGTGCTGTTGGTGAGAGTTTTTACCCTTTCCGTCGCCTGCTGTATCACTTTCCAATCGGACTGATCCATCGATAGGCAATTTGTTGTTTTTCACCAAGTTGGACATTTGATATAAACTAATAAAACTGGCTAGAAGATATACATTTTGCAAAATATATTCAAAATTTCTTAAAAAAATCTCAAAAAACCCCAAAACATTAGTTCTTTATTGAAACTAGAATCCCAGAATCATTAACGCAGCACTAATATCTTGACAGAAAATAGTTTGATACTTTACTTGCTGTACAGTACATTGCTCCAATTTCAGCACATGGAAAATTAGTGGTGAATATGAAAAATTGAAAACCATAAATAAAATTAAATTTTGTGGCTCGTAGTATATAACAGATTCTACTTCTACACATTCAATTTTTTTTTTCGTTTAAAATCATTTTCAAATTCTAGATTGATTTTTAATTTAACAAAATTACGATAAACCTGAAAAATCCCACTGCCAAAAATACATCAATGACTCAACTTAACCAAACACAAATTATCCAGCTCCTTATCTCGTAACAATAATTTCAAGTTTCCTAAATCTTAATTTCAAATTCTGTGAGAAGTTGATATTCCACCAGCACGAGATCACAAAAAAACTTATTTGTATTTTATTAAGGTTCTAATATCTTCAGTTCATGTCAGATCACAATCTTGTCATAAAGCTGAGGTAAGATATTTCAGTCAAGTTTTAATCAACCCAACTTCACCAACAACATTTCAAATAAAAATTGGAATTTTTATGCTTTGATCAAAATGTTCTGATAAATAGTGACCGCACAGTAAATAATAACGAGTTTATTACATACTGATTCTCCAGAGAATTTTGACGACTGGACCAATGTAAACATAGAGATATGATCACATGAATAATCAATTGTTTCATTCGCCGCAAAGTATTGGTAGTTATTCAGAAAAAGTTTATTTCCTGCATCGTCAACTATATTTATAACTATTCGATGTTACCTTCGGACAGGTATTAATTCTATCAACAAACATGTGCTATGTAGGCCCACCAATCTGGCTTTCTCGGATCACTAAAACTCTATAACTATACATCACGATACGAAGACATTTCTATCTAATCTTTTATCTTAAGTTCTTATACTTCATTACTGGACATTCCTGTATACATGTGTTGGCGATCAACATAGAAAATTATCGGAGCTGCGCTACATTGCAGATGAAAATTCTATAATCAAGGTTCATTGTATAAGTATTTATATGAAAAAGTAAAATTTAAGCTTTTCAACTGTTTCAGGAAATACAATTAAACAAATAAAACCTGGTATTAAATACTCACTACCTCATTAAATCACAATGGATCAAATTTACTGGCTGTCAATATCTAAAGCATAGAACAACCATCTTCCAAGGGACAGACTCTAATTCTTCCTGTACTAATAAATGTCAGCTATCCAACAGAAACGAAATTTAAATAAGAAATGTATTCCGTTATGCGTGACCTACCTTATCTATATTTTTAGCAGTTATCTGTAATTCATGGTCCTTAGAGCGGCAAATAAGGACAGTTAAAGCAATTATGAAGCTTTCGTCTTCCCGGTTGGGCTATCATCATCACATTTGTGAATAAATAAGAAGAGGATAAAAGGGTAGCGCATAAGGTCTATTTATGAATGTGTTTATTTTCATAACGACATGAAAACAGATCATTCATTTTAATGATATACGTACACGCCAGGTTGAGACGAATAAATAATAATGTCGGTTTGTTATCGAAGAAAAACAAAGATAGAAAATCTATATTGATCTCTATTATGTTTGTCAGTTAAGAAATTGATTTTTTTCAAGGTTTGTTTAAACAAGTATGAGTGTGATGTGTGATATCAATACTATTCTCGGCCATGCATGATTTGATGGAAATAACAGTTAATCAATAAGATAGATAATCCAGGTGGGTGATTGCCAACACTATTAGCTAAGCTTTTATAATACAATATTGATTGGAAATATCATCTATTATTCGTCACTCTTCCTTGTGGGGTATGCAATATGTTGGGAATCGTCCCAGGGCCATGATTACAATAAACAAATACTCTCCTAACCTTTTAGCTTAATATTGAAAAACATCAAAAATAACAAGTTCTCATAATTTCAAATTTTCATAATTGTATTGACTTTTCCCAAAGCAATATATTTTATCAGTTCTTGGTGAAGCATAACACCGTTTATTTTTCCACATTTATATTATTTTATTCAAGCCTTCTTATCATAAGTACCAAATATTGGAAGCAAGCGAGCAAAGTTGGACAGACTTTTCTGTTTCAATATGATATATTGGATCACATACGAGTTGTTTTGATGATATAAGAGTTAACAAAGTGGTATTGAATATTAATTATTTACAAAATGCATCCAGACCCATTTCAATAATATGACGACACATCACGGCAAACAGTAATGTTCTGTGAGTGTGTTCCTTAAACTGCTTGTAATATAACAATATGTCAAATTATTCAATTATATAATATGTAATCATTGGCAAACATTGAAACATCATCTTAGCTTGCTGAACAGTGACAAAATACATCATATATAATATGGTAACGAATTATTTTATTATTATAGATGCTCTTTCCAATCAAGATTGGCAAGAATCTGGTGAAGCATTTTAAAAACCTCAAAAAGAAAAGGTAGAAAACTCAAATATATCTTGATCTAGTGACAGCTATATCATAGAAGAGCAACTTTAGTCACAGCAAACTACTTAGTAATTATATGCAACCTTACCACTTAAATACAACCAATTAAAAATGATACAGATCAATAAATAAGAAATTCTAGCCACTTCATATTCCTAAACTATAGGTAAATATTATTGATATAAATACGAGACTTTCGTAATTTGACCTTTCCTATATAATGGCTTAACGTCATCAATAGCATTATAAGATGCATTCGATAACAAAACATGAACAATCCACAACACAATGTTTTGAACCAATACATATCAATCCTACTATATTCGCAATGCTAATATTTATCATGATCCATTTTTTAAAATTTGCATAAACAAGAACCTGAGTATAATGTTTCATTCTTTGTACAACTTGTTGAAATTTGATTATATCGAAATCAGGATATGTGAATATATTTCAATTGATATTTCAATGTAATCTCTTCGAAATACGTCATTACCATTATTTAAATTGCGCACAAAAGTATTCAATTGATCGTGTTAATGTGAGTCAAGTTTTATTTAGGAAAACTTATAAATAATAATCTGTTTAATTCAAGAGTCTTGCTGCACACTTACACAAATATATTTCTGTAACGTTTCGCCAACGTAACCCCAACTGTTAGTTATTTATAATAACTTCTTTTAAATTGTCCTCAATCAGCGATTCCCTGATGCACCAGCTACTGCATCACACAAAAATGATGAGCGTGTGGGAAAAGATCTATTTCCGAAAAATCATAAAAATTGGTAAAATTAGTAATCGAGAGAGATAAGTATGACTGGTGATATCGACCCTATGTCCTTGTTAAAACAAGCTTATAGCATTGATTAAATGTGCATAGGTTGTAAACATTACCTTATCGTAGTTTAATGTTAATAAATTTAAATTTCATTTCCATTACAAAGTGACATGCATTACAGAGAGTAAATGCATCATGACTCATGAGCTTTTGAAAAGTTTGCAAACCATGTTATAAATTATTTGGATATAATATATACCAATGTAACAGTTTAGTTTGTTAGATGTTTGTTTTCAATAACAGAACTTACAAGTAGTTTGTTCAGGATAATCTCCACATTTATACTTGTTACTTTTCAAAGTCTCCTTCTCTTCCATCTTCATAATGAAAATTTTTTCAAAGGCTGCTTCTGCAAGGATACTGAACCAATTCTAAAATTTGTTTTCAAGAATGCTACACAGGAATACTTTCAGTTGAGAATGGAATAAAGTCCAATTAACAAAGTCATGGTTTAATATTTTTGAATTAGGCCACATTGTTATGCATTATCTATGCTAATAACTGTAAAATGAAAGTAATCATGATTAATAAGAATTGATATTCAATTGTACAATAAAAATAGCACTGCCGCTTTTAAAGGATTAGAACAATAAGAGCTTCATCATGAGAAATTCAATGTTACTTGGCTGCCTTGTTGAACATTTTGTTATTGTAGTTACCGGTGTGTAATACCTTGCAATAATTCGGCTCTCGGCGTTTCAGTGATCACTTATGGCTTGGCCCAGATGTCCGTCAATCCTGAGCATGTGTAACGTTACATTGGGCAAATTCTTATGAAAGAAGTGCCCCTGCTTTACAAGACAGTCTGGGCCCCCAGATCAACACAAATTGGCAAACCGGCACTGCACAATAAACTACAGAACTAAGAGAAAGTGCAATCTAAAAATATTACCACTGGATTCCTTGAGAAAAAAAAATCCGATTTACTGAAGGATAAAATGTTTTATCATAGCATTCTGAGGTTTTTAGCAGAAAGCCACAATTTTGCTCATGTGATGGACGACGCAAATCGCGATTGATTCAAATTATTATCGAGACAAGCATGGCGCAATCTGACGCATCTGACGTTGTGTCAGCGGCCCTCATTCCAGAGACAAATAAGAGTGTTTGCTTCATTGAACCAATTGTCGAACTGGATACTGGGATAGGATAAGATTTACCAGTATATATTTATCTTACGGGAGAGGAAAACTAATAAGACGGCTTAATCAGATGGCCGCCTTGTCCAGTTATCAGCCCATCCATGCTATGGAATTAGGACTCCCATATTTTTCCCCGGGGAGAAGGAAAACCGGAAAGGTTTAACATATTTTTGAATAAGTTATAAATTATATAGGGCTACGATTTTTCAATAACACTTTTGCAAGCTGAAGCTTTTTGCTTCAATTATAATATCAGAATATATGAATATAAGTTAACAATTAGATAAAAAAATAAAGAAGAAACTGAATATTTTTATATTGCAGTACATTCTGACATTAACACCTCACTCAATCATTTATTATTAGTTCAGTGATTACTCCAGTCGGCCAGTTATTTATAAGCAAAATTGCTTGATTATTTAATAAAATTACCAAACCAGGTGAGTTTAAGTAGAAACAGCTGATTTCTTCATTCTGCCATTTGTCAGTTCGTGAATACAGGAATATCTAAATGCTGAAATGCATCAATCAGATTTTTTCGTATTGAATGTAGTCTATGTATTTTGAACACATAGCCTACCGGTACCGGTACGGTACTGGTAGACCACTGACATCTGGACATAGACTAGTTTCAGAAAACATAGCCTAGGAAGATATAAGTTTACAGGAAGACACTGCTTGACTCAGTGACTGCAGACCAGCAGACAGAAATATGCTGAACATGAACTAACGCCCCAATTCTGTATTATGGTGCGCTACAGATACCGGTAGGCTACGTAAGTTTACTGGTACAGTAACTTCTGATATTAGACGCCTGCGACTACCAGTAAATACCGTACCATACTGGCAGATTGGGATTCAGGGATTGTTAACCACACCACCGTTGCTAATTCACAGATTTGCCGCAAACTACACAACAAACTGAGAAAGTGTTTACGCGAAGTCGAACCTCTCACCACCTAAATAATTCTGATTAGAAACTTGACTCCTTGCAACACTAATATCTTTGGTCATTTAGAAATGGTTTCCGCAGTGCCAAGCTAAGTGGCCGGGACCGAATTGACTACATTCATCGACATTTTTCTATTGTCCATAGAAAATTTATGTTCAACTTTTAGTCGATTGACTTACACGGTTTCCTCCGGGATTACATATGACAATAAGATATGCTTAATTTTTTCTCTATGAACCAAGTCGTCGGCTTTAGCAATCAATCAATCAACCAAGTTTATTTTTTTCCAACCAATAAAAAATGAATAAATAGCACAGGCACAAATTACAAGAAAATAGTACACACTTTTACTGGGGAAGGGAAGTCGCGGGTACCAAAAATGGTTATCGAGCAGCGACACCCGAAGTACCACTGTTAATATTGGATGAACAATAAATAAGGTGAACACTAAACACAATAAATAAGGTGAACACTTAAAACAAGGATAGGATAGGATTTACAAATTTATCCCGGGGGAGAGGAAAGCCGATAAGACGGCTTATCCATATGGCGAACCACGGCCTCTCGTCCGGTTACCATTCCAAGTCGGGTATGGGATTAGTTTTACTGTATTGTTTGTTTTCGGAAGCATGGACTTGGTGGTGGAGGAAGCCGTAACCGACCAGCGGTTACGTGAACCACCCAACGACGGCGAGGAGTCCAGCAATCCTCTCGCACATAACCATCCCTGCATGGGATTCGAACCTGCGAACCCACGCAGAGTAATTAGAGGTGCGGTGGCGAGCGTATTCCTAACGCTTAGCCCGTTGAGCCGCACCGCCGCGCCCGCCACAAATACGTTAAGCCAGCGTTTCCCAAACTATGGGTCGCGACCCACTGGTGGGTCGCAAGAGAAAACTCAGTGGGTCGTGAAAAGATGTAGAAAGCTTTGATCAATTATACTGGTTATTAGAATCGGTGGCAAAGCAAATTTTCAAAATAAACTGCAACTTTTCAATTTTTTACGTCTAAAACTATCTGAAATTGAAACAAGAGAGCTACGCCCAAATATATGGACACGTCTGTTCGCAGTACAGTACGGTGTGCCCAACGACTAACATAAATGGAAAATACGTAAAATTCGTTCGAAATAAAATTTAACTAACAAAGCAAGTGAGCGCCATTATGTAATTATCTTTATATAGTTATTAAAAGTGCGCTTTCCCCAACTGTTCTGTTTTAACAGAAACGATCAGTAGTCCATGGAGAAAAGATTGAAACATAATTTACAATGAGATTGCAGAATCTCTTGCAAGAATAATGTCTCGCATGTCAATCATTTAAATGGTCTGTGTTTAGTTGTGATTTAGACTGAGACTTTGCTCCAAAAATTTATAATGTAATTAGATATCAGACAAGAGAACTACGCCCAAATATATGGACACGTCTGTTCGCAGTACAGTACGGTTTACCGTACCGTCAGATCACAGTCTACAAATATATTCACACCAAGCGAAGCAGTACAGTAGGACACAAAATGGCGTAGGATGCCGCAGAACGTTTAATGACGTCATAGCAAACAAAAACAATTCTCACAGAGCTAACAGAAAAATATTTAAAATGAATAGCCTTCTGGGAAAAAATTTCATCTTCAACCACTGAAGATTTCAAAACAATTGGTCCAGTATTCGAAGAGAAAAGCGGTTTTTAATATTTCCACTAGGTGTGTTATTCTGTGTCAAATAACAGCAAGAACAACATAATATTGAAACGATCGTTATGTCCACTACGTGTTCAATAAATGTCAAGTTTATTATGGAAAATAGCAAGAAACAATCTCATCTTTCTCACTAGCTTCACTGAAAATTCAATTTGAGAAATTAAATTTGTTTCCTCCATCAATGTTTTATTAATTTATTAAAGTTAAATGAGTCGTCATAAGCTGTGGTAAAAAATAGTGGGTCCCAACTCTAAAAAGTTTGGGAACCACTGCGTTAAGCTATTGTTTACAGGGTGGGCAATTCTTTTTATATTTTGAATGTTATAGGGCTGTTTTTCTGATTGGGCACTAGTTGCAGAATTTGTTGTGATATGAGGGAAATTGTTATCAAAGTTGTTTGAGATTTGGGCAAAAATTATAGAGCATGGACATAGCAGCAATACAATAATAATATGACTTGAATACGTAAGGAAATAAACCTAGTCGTCTTTTTTCATCTATCCATAGTCATCTAGTAGATAAATTTTTCTTGGTGCCGGTAGTTGCTTTACTTTCATCCTTCAATTATTCTTCCAACTGTTTAAATTTCTGTTGAGCGGCTTTTTCTGAACCCATTTTGATTTGCCCCGAGTATCTGTTCCATTTCAAGCCGTTTTCTGCAAAGAAGCATCTTCTTATAAACCATTGCGGCAAATATTATCCTATTGTCCTTGTTCACTTCGTTACAGTGATATAACAGCAGATTACTAAAATTGCGCGTTTATATTGAATGAGACAGAATGAAATACCTCGTATCCTAGTTCAAGAATGTACACCAGGGGGTTGAGGGTAAGAATCGCAACCCCTTATTTAGGACGATTCATTATCTGTGGCCCGCGTCGCATTTGCGGGAGGGTGAACAAAAAAAAACGCATTTGGTGTTGTTTCGCCTTAAAAATAACCAGAAAAATCTTTTGACATATTGTTACATCACTAATGTCACTGAAATGACTAGTATTATGGCTAGATGAGGCAACTAGCGAAGTTGAAGAATGTGCTTGGCAGTCTAAATTCAGTACGGATCAGATAACTCAATGATTATTTAATTGCAGTAATCAAAAATTAGTCTAGCTTCCACTCTGGGTCACAAAACTTCTTAAACTTGCCATAAATAATAGGCATCGCGTCGTGTAGCCTACTGTGCTATGAACTGCAGCTTTATAAACCCCTAATTATTACGTATGGTTGTTTGCATACTTATTAGCCTACTACGTATTCAATTGCATTGTTTCGTAGCAATGCAAGGTTAGCAGCAGCTGTATGGAACAGCTTTTAAATCAATTTTTTTCTGTATCTTTTGTATTTTTTATTGTAATCCCTCTTTCATCGCCGTGAAACTACGCCAAAATGTTGCATTCTGGCCGCTGCCAAAGGTGCCGGAATTATAATTTCAAAAGTGTAAGAAAATCTTCTTGATTTCACTTTCATCGAGTAACTATAACGCCAAGTTAGTACCTGTACCAAAGTCATACAATTTTAACAGGAATGTTTATCAAAGATATCAGGGAGATGCGTTGAGTAAACAAGAGAGCTATGCTCAAATATATGGACACGTAGAGTCACATAATTTTGATGACGTCATAGCGAAAAAAAAAGTAATAGCCTTCTGGAGAAAATTTTTATCTTTAACCACTAAAAATTTCAAAGCAATTGGTCCAGTATTCGAAAAG